TTGAAGAACGTTGTTGCGAATGCACTTTTGCGCATGTTTTTTTACATGTATGTTTGTGCATGTCCATTTGAGCGAGTGTGTTTGTGCATGTTTGGTGATTTGTATTAATGTCCTAGGATTGTAGTTTGTGTTTTCATGATCCTTTTTGCAAATGCAGTTTTGCGTGAGTAATTTTGTGCATGATTTTGTACTTTTACTTATGTGCGTATCTTTTGTAGCGAGTGTTTTTGTGCACGTTTCTTGATGCGCATTCGTGTCCTCGAACTGTAGCGGGTATTTTCATGATCGCTGTTGGAATCCATCTTGGCTGGGGTCCAATTCCGATTTGGGAAATTGGCCTTTGACCGGGATTGTAGCCAGCTGAAATAGCTTTCTAATGCCGCCGGAACCAGTCGATTTGGATTCCGGATGAGAAAGTTATGCTCGACTTCGTGGACACTACCGAAGATGTTGAGGGATCCTCTCTTCTATTTTGATTTTATTTTCCTAATTGCAACTCTTTTCTTACTCTTTGATCATTTTTATCTTCATGGACACCTAATTATCAATTTGTACCTATAGAATACTAAATCCACCAATGAAAACAGAAGTATAAATTAATTCATACAAAAATCGACGTAAACGTAAACGTTGAGTGTTATTTCTACACTCCACTGTATCTTTTGTATCTTGTGTTTTTGCTGTTGTTTGGTTATGCGTATTAAAGTCCTAGTGTTGTACATCGTGTTTTGAAGAACGTTGTTGCGAATGCACTTTTGCGCATGTTTTCTTACATGTATGTTTGTGCATGTCCATTTGAGCAAGTGTGTTTGTGCATGTTTGTTGATTTGTATTAATGTCCTAGGATTGTAGTTTTTGTTTTCATGATCCTTTTTGCGAATGCAGTTTTGCGTGAGTAATTTTGTGCATGATTTTGTACTTTTACTTATGTGCGTATCTTTTGTAGCGAGTGTTTTTGTGCACGTTTCTTGATGCGCATTCGTGTCCTCGAACTGTAGCGGGTATTTTCATGATTGCTGTTGGAATCCAATTTTGACCGTGTTCGAGTCCGAATTTGGAAAATTGACATTAGACAGGAATTGAGGCCAGTTGAAATAGCTTCCTAATGCCGCCGGAACCAGTCCATTTGGATTCCGGATGAGAAAGTTATGCTCGACTTCGTGGACACTACCGAAGATGTTGAGGGATCCTCTCTTCTATTTTGATTTTATTTTCCTAATTGCAACTCTTTTCTTACTCTTTGATCATTTTTATCTTCATGGACACCTAATTATCAATTTCTACCTATAGAATACTAAATCCACCAATAAAAACAGAAATATAAATTAATTCATACAAAAATCGACGTAAACGTAAACGTTGAGTGTTATTTCTACACTCCACTGTATCTTTTGTATCTTGTGTTTTTGCTGTTGTTTGGTTATGCGTATTAAAGTCCTAGTGTTGTACTTCGTGTTTTGAAGAACGTTGGTGCGAATGCACTTTTGCGCATGTTTTTTTACATGTATGTTTGTGCATGTCCATTTGAGCGAGTGTGTTTGTGCATGTTTGTTGATTTGTATTAATGTCCTAGGATTGTAGTTTGTGTTTTCATGATCCTTTTTGCGAATGCAGTTTTGCGTGAGTAATTTTGTGCATGATTTTGTACTTTTACTTATGTGCGTATCTTTTGTAGCGAGTGTTTTTGTGCACGTTTCTTGATGCGCATTCGTGTCCTCGAACTGTAGCGGGTATTTTCATGATCGCTGATGGAATCCAATTTTGACCATGTTCGAGTCCGAATTTGGAAATTTGACATTAGACAGGAATTGTAGCCAGCTGAAATAGCTTTCTAATGCCGCCGGAACCATCGATTTGGATTCCGGATGAGAAAGTTATGCTCGACTTCGTGGACACTACCGAAGATGTTGAGGGATCCTCTCTTCTATTTTGATTTTATTTTCCTAATTGCAACTCTTTTCTTACTCTTTGATTATTTTTATCTTCATGGACACCTAATTATCAATTTCTACCTATAGAATACTAAATCCACCAATGAAAACAGAAATATAAATTAATTCATACAAAAATCGACTTAAACGTAAACGTTGAGTGTTATTTCTACACTCCACTGTATCTTTTGTATCTTGTGTTTTTGCTGTTGTTTGGTTATTGTTAAGTGTATATTTATACACTTAATTGTACCTTTTAATTGGAGCTTTTGATGTGTTTTTACGATAATTGGTGCTTAATATGGCTATTATTTGTATTTTAGATGCAAATTGAAGAATTGGCAACTTTTGGGGTGAAAACTGCAAATTCGGAGAAAAAGTGGGCCAAAAGTGAAATAATCAGAATTCTGAAGAACAGAAGGCCGCGCGGCCGTGTGGGTTTTAAGCTTATATTTCACACGGCCGTCCGGATGGTCGTGCAGTGAAGGAATTTTAATTACACAAGGAAACCCGCCCTATTATATTTTTACACCCTATTTAAAGGCCAAGAGCACACAATTAGATCTTGGACCTTTTAGCTTTTATCTTTATTTTTAGTTTTTATCTTTCATCTTTCTACACGCAATCAAGGAGCACAAGAACGAAGACGAAGACTTGACGAATCTTCATCATAGTTCTCCTCTTTTATTGTTATTTATCGTTTTTTATGATTTTTCGTATTTTTATTATGCTTTCCGTAGAGAACATGAGTAGCTAAGTTTTTATTCTAGGATTTTATTGGAACCCTATGTGGTAATTCGAACCTATTTTTCTACTTTTATGCAAGTTTAATTCTTCGATTATTTCTTCTATCTTGATCTTATTTAGCGCATGAACGTAGCTAATTTATGTTGCTAGTTGTTATTGTTAGAATTGATTGACAGATCGTTTTAATAATTAGAACAGGGATAGAAGAGCATTCGAGTAGTTTTTCACCGAATGCGTGTGTTGATTGCATGTATTATCGTAGACATACAGATAATACCTTAGGTAGCCGTTGTCGAGACTTGTTATTTAATACTTTATTTATACTAGGTTTGCATAGACATATAGTGAATCTTTTATGAATAATAGGTTTATAGCGCAGCGACAGCTGGTTATGAATAATTTCGTGTCTTGGGTTAATAATCGGGAATCGTAACTTGCATGATAGGAGATTAATCGGGTGAAGAATTATCGCATAGGGGGAAGATAAAATCCTAGATCCATTTTATATTGATATTCTCTCGTGTTTAATTGCTTTCTTAATTAGTTTAATTTATTTAGTTAATTAAATTGACAACCCTGCGTAGCCTGGATAAAAATCACAATTGTTAGGATTTGGTACTTAGGATTAAATAATTTGCGTATTCCCTGTGGGATCGACATCCGACTCTCACAAGTCTACTTTACTACTTGTTTGCGATACGTACACTTGCGTGTTGGTATTTAGCACCCAACAAGTTTTTGGCGCCGTTGCCGGGGAATACGGCTAAATTATTTATTTATCCTAATATTAAATTTGAACAATTTTTCTTACTTCAGCCAATTTTTTTTTTATTTTTTTATTTTATTTAATTATTTTATTTATTTATTTTGTTTAAGGTTCTTTTTATGCGAAGAGGACACGATACGAGCTTGCTACCTCTTGACCCCGAAATTGAGCGAACGTTTAGGCAAGCCAGGAGAAATCAACGGTTAGCTCAAAACACTCCGGCAGCGATGGAAGACGAGAATAATCGTGGGGGAGGTGTCCAAGGGTGCCTACCGAATGCGGTAGGGGATGTCGTTATCGAGCAAGAGCAACGCCAGCTAATCAATCCACCGCCTCGCCAACGAGCCTTGCACGAGTACACCGTTCCGACACTCAATGGGTTCCAATCAAGCATCCAGCAACCCCCCATTGAAGCCAACAATTTCGAGATTCGAGCGGGACTCCTCACGATGCTCCAAAACAATGGTCTTTTCAGCGGATTGGCTCATGAAGATCCACATCTTCACTTGGTCAACTTTCTCGAAACGTGTGACTCGCACAAGATGAACGGAGTAACACCCGAAGCACTGCAACTCCGCCTGTTCAAGCACTCCCTACAAGGAGCAGCCCGAGAATGGTTGCAAACTCGTGCACCGCACTCCATCTCGTCGTGGGCCCAGCTAGCGCAACTCTTTATGAACACATACAACTCCCCAACAAAAACTGAGAGAATCCGGCGAGAAATTCAAAACTTCATACAAGAAGCCGGTGAAGCATTATTCGAGACGTGGGAGCGATTCAAACAGTTAGTGAGGAGGTGCCCGAATCACGGACTACAAGAGTGGCGCCAATTGCAAATATTTTACGATGGATTGCAAGACAACTCGAGAACCGTGCTCGACTCTGCAGCTGGAGGTATGTTCATGAGTTTGACCTACGACGAAGCATACGAGCTCTTGGAACGAATCGCTCGAAACAAATACATGAGGGCATCGGACCGGTCGAATAGCGGAGCAGTCAAGACGGGAGGAATTTTGGAGTTAGACGGGGTCACTGCAATCACGGCCCAATTAGAGAAGCTATCGAAGCAAGTGGCGGCTTTGCAAACTCAGCAAGTCCATGCAGTCCAAGTTCCCGACCAGCGCGTAGAAGAAACGGAGTCTCTGAATTATGTGCATGACACCAACCGACAACAGAGGAACCCGTACTCCAACACGTACAACCCCGGATGGAAGGATCACCCTAACTTTGGGTGGGGAGGAAATCAGCAAGGACCAAGGCAAGCACCACCTCAAGGTCAACCGCCTAATTATTCACGACCAGCTCCCGGATTCCAAAATCCGTCTCAAGCCCAACCTCAAGGTGGAGATCTCGCAAATATCTTGGCGCAGTTCATGACAACCACTCAAGCCTCCATCCGAAATTTGGAAACACAGATGGGTCAACTTGCAACCCAACTAACAGCGAGGCCATCGGGAGCACTGCCGTCAAATACAGAAGATCCTCGGAAGAACAACGTCGAGCAATGCAACGCCGTGAGTTTAAGGAACGGGAGACAATTAGAAGAGGTTCCACGAAAGGAGAAGCAAAATACGGTAATCGAGGAGCCGATTGAGATTGAGGAAAAAGAAGCAACTCGCAAAGAACCACCATCACCCACAGTGATCCCGCGAGTCCCTCAAGTCCCATATCCCCAAAAGCTTAAAAAGAAGAAGCTCGATGCGGAGCACCAAGGATTCTTGGACAAGCTGAAGGAAATCCACATCAACATTCCGTTTATCGAAGCCATTCAAAAGATGCCAAAGTGGGTGAAATTCCTCAAGGAGCTCGTAACAAAGAGGAATAAATTGCAAGGGAACGAGATCATCCAACTCACGGAGCAATGCAGTGAAATCCTTGTACGACCCCTTCCACAAAAACTCGGCGATCCAGGTAAGTTCACTATCCCTTGCACTATTGGAGGAAGAAATTTTAGGTCACTCCTTGATTTAGGTGTTAGAGTAGGTGACCAACAAGCCAACTTTTGGCTGTGGTCTTTCGTATTTATTATGGTAATAAACGAACCTTTATTCGTATTAATGATAAAACACCTTGGCATTCTATATCTTTGTCCCTTTGTCACAAGCATAGATATAGTCCTTACAGTTATTACAAGTACTAGTAATTGATCGTTAGTATCGTGAGATATTTACTTAAGTATGATAACTGTTAAACGTGTTCCTAGTCGAAGGGTTACGCCACCAATGAGGATATCGGCCTTTCCCATTAGAAGACTAGCACTTAGTGTATGTGTACTGCATCTCATCAGTAAACGGTATTGTGATATCGGCATGCATAAGTGGGTGCTCGTAAGTTGACGAGTTCACTGAACTCCCTCACCCTAGAAATCTCTAAGTGGTTCCCAGTAATCGAGTAGAGATATCTATGGTATAGTTGTACACCATTAGTCCTTATGACCTAGACATCACCGTGACTTCACTAGAGGACCAGCTGTATCGTGACCTGTCCCTGAGTTCCACCGAGGACCATCCCAAGGGCCAGTGTTCGTGCAGTCCGAAATCTAGTGGGAGGTCTGTGCATTGTAGTCGGGGATTCGATCGCTAGAATAGTCTTGGATGTCCTGTGTGTTCTGAAAGTTTGTAATCATTCTAAGTCTCTGGCCAGAGCTGACTAAGTGATGATTAGAGAATTCGATTCTCTGAGTCATGCACGTAAGGATTACAACACTTAGAACGATCGCACCGTCATCGAACATATAAAGAGGTCTCGATGAACCAATGCCTCTAGTTCGATCGGGACATATGAATCGAAGGGACCGTACTGTACGTTAACTATATCTGAAGGTTCTTGCAGGCACTTCATTTGTATCTAGGGAATCATGACGCGTAGTTGCTAGACGCCAATCTTGATTCGTTGGGTGATTAAGGTGAAACGAGCTTCATCTTAATCGTAACTCGAAGGGGACGAGTTTTGACCACAATGGGTTGTGGGCCCACGGCTAGCTTACACCTGAACCATCGAGGGTCACACTGCTCGTGCACATGAGATCTTTGAATAAACGGTCAGAGATAAAATAGTTTGTCTTTGCATGATTGGAAGTCAATATGATTGAATCCAACATTCGTAATTTGGAATTACGAATGAGAATAAGAAAAGGAAAAGAATAGGCGAACGTGTTAGTGAACTTTCTAAATCGGGAAGTTTCCAAATTTAGAAAGTGCACTGAACTAGGGTTTCCACTTTTGGAAAGTTGGAAAATGAGAGATGGCACTCGTAATGACGAGGAAGTTATAATGATTCCGAAAATGTAATCGTTGCAATTTTTCGGTCATTGAATTGAGAGATACGAGCGAGTAGAGGAACTAACGAGCTTAAGCTGTTGGGCCCAGTCCAACTTAAGCCCGCTAGGGTTATATGCAAGGGACTATAAATACATGACTTATAGCCCTTACACACATACAACAAACCCTAACCCTAAAGCGGCCGACCCTCTCTCTCTCGCCCTCTCTCCCGCGCGGCCACCACCGCACCACCGTCGCCGCTCCGTCGCCGGAACCGACCGTTCGTCGGCCGTTCCTTGTTCGGTATTCTTTCTCCTTTCTTTTTCTTCCGTTTTATTCTAACTACTTCGTGTCTAGTGCCACGATTTAGTAGATCGAAGTATACGAGGTGAAATCCGAGAGGAGGAAGACTGTAGATCGAAGAATCGAGGAGCAACGCACGAGCCGAAGCCGCACGCTGCCCCACGCGCCGCGCCGAAGCCGCGCGTACACTACACGCGCCGCCGTGACCTCACGCGCCGCTGCTGCCGTTGCACCGCTGCTGCCCCGATTCTACGGATTGGTTTCCGTAGTAATCACGAAGTGCTAATCGCTCCTACCTCACGCGTCAAGAGGTAAATATACGAAACCCTAGTTTCGTTTAGGGTTTAATTTAAACTATGTTTTCATGCTTGTATTTGTATGATTTTATGTGATTATGTGTAATCGGTTTTTAATCATTGCAAGCATGTTATTTGGTTTAAATTGCGAGCATGTTAATTGATTTAAGTACGGTTAAATTTATTAGCATGTATGTTGTTTTATTTTCGCTGGAAGCGCAAAGGTACGCAATTAATTGAATTTAATTTATCGGGCATGTTCTTATGTGTTTTAAAGTCGTTTAAATCGCATAAATTTTTGTTTTCCGCTGCGTATGCGTGCCCGAAACCCAACATTAGGTGCTAGCATTAATCTTATGCCTTATTCCATTTACAAAAATCTTGGGTTAGGTGAGATTGAACCAACGGCTATAACCCTTCAATTAGCCGATAGGTCTTTAGTTTACCCAAAAGGTATTTTAGAGAACGTGCTAGTGAAAGTGAATAAATTTATTTTCCCTGTGGATTTCGTTATACTTGATATAGATGAAGATAGGGAGATACCTCTTATTCTAGGAAGACCATTTTTAGCCACGTCGAAAACTCTAATTGATTGTGCTAGTGGTGATCTTTCAATGACGGTGCATGATCAAACGGTCAAATTTAACGTTTTTAGCACTAAGAAAAATCCATGTGATGATAATGATTGTTATGCTATTGATCTTGTGGATTTTTCAAATCATGACGATTTTGACTTTTTGATCTTAGACCATGGGAAAGGATCTTTGAGTGCAGGAGATGGTGGCGGAAAAGATAGTCGGACGGAGCAAGTTTATTGTGCGAGCTCAATTTCAACTCCGCCGAGGGACAGTCAAAAGAGTTGGGATGATGACAATGATGAACGAGCAAGGTGGATGTGGCCACCTAACGAACCAAACGAGCATTATTGGGGAGAGGGATGCAATTGCCAAGTGACTTCGGTCACGTTAGCTTGAACAAAGAAGCAGACAAAGTCCGGCTGAAGACTGTAAACTTAGCGCTTCTCGGGAGGCAACCCGAGCTTTCGTTTTTTTTTATTATTTTATTTTATGTCACTTTAAATTTTTTTAGTTTTGCTTTTAGTTTATTTTATAAAAAAAAAAAAAAAAAAAAAAAAAAAAAAAAAAAAAAAAGAGTTTCCGGGGCACTAATAAGAAGTTTTTATTTTTCAGGGCCTTAAATGCAATTATTGAAACTTGTCAAACGGCCGTGCGGAAAAAGACTTGGAATCTCGCACGGCCGTCCGAGAAGCGGACGATGCTACTGCCCAAAATCAGCATTTCACACGGCCGTGCGGATTTTAGGCCAAAATCTCGCACGGCCGTCCGAGATTCAAAGGGGCCACTGTACAAATTGACAGTTTGGCACGGCCGTGCGGATTTTAGGCCAAAATCTCGCACGGCCGTCCGAAGGGAAAAACGGGGCATTTTAAATAAGGGTTTTCAAAACTCCAATTTTCACAAATTCCAAACCCTCTTTCTCTCCACTTCGAACTCTCCCCCCTATTTTAAAATTTTTCGATTTTCTTGACAAATTTCACCAGAAATTCACCAATTGCACACACATAATACGTAAACTTAGTTTTTTGTTGCTAATTTGTGCAGGGGGGTTCAAGAAAAGTGCAAATTTCTCCAAAAATCCATTCCACCAAGAACGCCCACAAGGTGTTCGACGAATTGTCCGACTCAAGTTTGGGGGAAATTTTGCAAAGCAATCCACTCCTAATCCCTTCTACACACATTCTCAAGTCATGGGGAAATGAGGACGTGACGGGGAGGGCACTTCACAAGGCGAGGGAACTTCAAAAGGCAAGGGGAAGGGCAAGAAAACCGACCAAATTCCGACACCCGACGATGACGCTTTTTGTGTCGAAGGCGCTAGTGCTCGTTTCGAGAAGCAAAAGGGGAAGAAACTAGTAACGGAGCGTGCCTACGAGATCACCCTTCCACAATTTGCCCCGTTACATCAAGAATTCCTACGACGAGGGTGGCAAGCACTATTGGAACCGGAGGATTCGATCAACCTATCATTGGTCCGCGAGTTCTACGCCAACAACCATATACACCTCACAGAGGAGCGGAACGTGAGCACGGTTCGAGGCAAGAGGGTCGAGTGGAATGCCTACGCAATCAATTCTTTCTATCACCTCCGACACAGGACACCATTCAATTGGGGGCAAATGCAACTTGCGGTCACACGAGATCAAATCGCCGAGGTGTTGTGCGATGGACCCCCCATTTGGTCCGAACTATCAACCGAAGAAAAGTACGAGTTAGAGTGGAAATGCATCAACCAAGTAGGCAAGGCGTGCCTTACGTTCATTTGTGCCAACCTCATTCCCACCCGCTCGTGGACTCGCGTGGACCCCGAACGGTGCGCTTTGGCATACTACATCCTCAAGGGCACCCCGATCAACATTGGCGCAATCATATCCGGCCGATTTTGGACCTCCATGGTCAACAACTCCAAGGGATTTTATTTCCCTTGCCTCATTACCGGCTTATGCAAAAAGGCGAAGGTCCCAACCAAACCGACGGACATTTTCACATCAATTCGAAATCCGATGAACGACCTTGCGGCCCGGCAATACAAGGCACCCATCCAAGATGGCGAGCAACCCGTCGAGAACCAACCAATAGCTCCACCCGAGGGTCCAAGCACAAGTTCGGACCGACGATTTCAACGAAGAATGGAGCGAGAGTTGGTGATCACGAGAAATCGGCTTGCAACGGTGGAGCACAAGGTGAGCACTATCGAATCCCTCCAACGGTGGTCGGGAAAGATGCTTCAAGCCATTGTACGCCATTTGGCATGTGGCAATCCCGAGTGCGAAGAACCGGCTCCGTTGCCCGCACCGATTCTTGAGCCGGTACCCGAGCTTTCGGATGATGACGGAGATGGTAATGCTCATGCGCAAGGCGGAGTTGACGAGCAGCCCAACGATGGTCCCGACGCGTAAACAGGTGTTTTCTATCCTTAAACTCCGGGCAAATCACATTGAGGGCAATGTGAATTTTAAGTTTGGGGGTGGTTAATTACTTGTTTTCGTTTTTGTGCGCTTTATGTGTGTTTTATTTTTTTTATTTATTTTGCATGCTTTAGTTTTTGTTTTAATTGCCGTTTTATTATTTTCGTTTTTCTATAAAAAAAAAAAAAAAAAAAATGTTCAATGCATTGATGAATTACGATGATGGTAGATGGTCAATGTTTGATGATGAAACTACTTGTTTTATGTTGATAAGGAGTATGTATTTGTTTAACTTTCGATTCAACGGAACGTAGAAGTGAATTATTGTTAGGAATCACACCTTGTGCATTGCTTTGGTTGAATGTTTTGCATTTTAAATTTGGAATTTATTTGTGCTCAATCATGCTTTGTTCGGTTTTAAATCTCACCTTATGACATTTATGATACGAAGTGTTGATAATAAGTGATTTGGGATATGATTTGGGCCTTCTTTGAACCGTTTGAGCCTTTCAAGCCTACCCTTTTTGTCAATTTATCCTTAGAACCTTGATTTGAGCCTCGGAGAAAAGGTGTTCTTTCTTTTAGCCAATTAGTAGAAGGTAGAAAAGTGGAGATTTTTGAATAATTATCCCTTGGTGGTCGGTCGAAAAATTCTTATAAGATCTTTCTTCTTCTTCGAAAAAAAAAAAATAATAATAAAAAAAAAAAAAAAAAAAAAAAAAGAGAAAAAGAAAAAGGATAGTTATATATGTGCATCTTCATATATATATATCTAAATCCTTCGATTTGAAAAAAAAAAAAAAAAAGAGAGAAGAAGAAGAATAGATTAGAAGGGAGAAATAAGGACTAGTTGTTGAGTTGTGTTGAAAACTCGATCCATTGCCTCAAGGCAAAAGTGTTGACGTGTGAATTTTGGAGAATCGAGTTTATTTAAGTCCCTAGAGGTGAATTCATTGTTTCAAACGCCTATCTTTCAAATTTTGGCGTATTCACCTCAATTCAAGAAAATTAGCCACACATTCCCATACTACCTACCTCGGACCAAAGAGCCTAACAATTGAAAGCCACAAAGCCCCAATGATCCCAATAGCTTATTGTTCAATATTAGTTGAGTAAAATAATTTGGTGAGTATTTGGAGTCAAATATATGCATGTAAGTATAAATTTTTTCTATCTTTAACTTGCAAATATTGGATACTTGAAGCAATTGTATGACTTGTGGTTTTTGGTAATAGTGAGTGACTACGTGCCGTTGAATGTTAAGCTTGCGAATACCTAGGAATTATCATCATAATTGCAAGTTCTGAAAACACGAAGTTGACCAATCGACCTATGTAATGAGATGTATTGTCATGGTTTGTGTTCTTAATTTGATTTTACTTGAGGACAAGCAAAAGTTCAAGTTTGGGGGTGTGTTAAGTGTATATTTATACACTTAATTGTACCTTTTAATTGGAGCTTTTGATGTGTTTTTACGATAATTGGTGCTTAATATGGCTATTATTTGTATTTTAGGTGCAAATTGAAGAATTGGCAACTTTTGGGGTGAAAACTGCAAATTCGGAGAAAAAGTGGGCCAAAAGTGAAATAATCAGAATTCTGAAGAACAGAAGGCCGCGCGGCCGTGTGGGTTTTAAGCTTATATTTCACACGGCCGTCCGGATGGTCGTGCAGTGAAGGAATTTTAATTACACAAGGAAACCCGCCCTATTATATTTTTACACCCTATTTAAAGGCCAAGAGCACACAATTAGATCTTGGACCTTTTAGCTTTTATCTTTATTTTTAGTTTTTATCTTTCATCTTTCTACACGCAATCAAGGAGCACAAGAACGAAGACGAAGACTTGACGAATCTTCATCATAGTTCTCCTCTTTTATTGTTATTTATCGTTTTTTATGATTTTTCGTATTTTTATTATGCTTTCCGTAGAGAACATGAGTAGCTAAGTTTTTATTCTAGGATTTTATTGGAACCCTATGTGGTAATTCGAACCTATTTTTCTACTTTTATGCAAGTTTAATTCTTCGATTATTTCTTCTATCTTGATCTTATTTAGCGCATGAACGTAGCTAATTTATGTTGCTAGTTGTTATTGTTAGAATTGATTGACAGATCGTTTTAATAATTAGAACAGGGATAGAAGAGCCTTCGAGTAGTTTTTCACCGAATGCGTGTGTTGATTGCATGTATTATCGTAGACATACAGATAATACCTTAGGTAGCCGTTGTCGAGACTTGTTATTTAATACTTTATTTATACTAGGTTTGCATAGACATATAGTGAATCTTTTATGAATAATAGGTTTATAGCGCAGCGACAGCTGGTTATGAATAATTTCGTGTCTTGGGTTAATAATCGGGAATCGTAACTTGCATGATAGGAG